CTGAGTCCACGCCCGGCCCGGGGGTCCCCGCGCCCCTCACTCACCTCGGCGCCCACAGGAGCACGCGGCGCAGCCCGGTCCAGTGTCGCCACCGCCGCTTCCTCCCATCGCGCCCGGCCCGGCCGCGCCGCCGGAGCGCAGGGCGGGGCAGCGCAGGCGCGGCCGGGCGGGGCCGCGGCAGGTGACGGTGGCAAACCCGGGAGTGGCCCAGCTGCGGGCAGCAGGGACTCCATCCCGCCTGTCTGACCCATGCCACCGAAAAGCCCGTGCGAGAGGAGAGCGACCCGTGACCCACTGCCAGTGCTGCGGCTGCGGCGAACGGAGATGCGCAAGTGGCGCCTCTGGGGGCACTGGGTGTAAGTCAGCTCCGGCTGAGCTGATCCATCGACACATTCGTCCATCCATCATTGCCCGCACGGTGTCTCCGCACTCACAGCAACTATTTCTATAGAAACAAGACAGCAGTACTACCAGCAGAGCGCCCAGTTGGAAGGAACGGGCTACTCTCCACGGCTGAAGCCTTTCGCCCTCTGCCCACGCTCCCGAGCAAGCGCATCCTTCGGTCCATCCCGCATCCCTCACCCGGGAGCTCCCCGCCGGCTCAACCCTGCAAGCTCGGGGGAAGCAAGCAAGACGGGCCCTTTGTGACTCCAAAGCAGACGGTGTGAGAGAAGGGCAGACGAATTTAAGATGTGATCTTAGCCCTTGGGTTACAACGCTCCAGGCAGCAGCGTATGTGAGTTGTGGATACCCGAAAGCCAAAGTACCATTCACTGATAAGACAAAAAAAAATTACAAATGGTACTAAAATATTTTATGAAGAGATCAAATCCTATTTCTAAAAAAAGCCAAAACGTTTTCCCAGGAAGAATATAGGTGAAGAACCTCACTCAAGTCAATCAGCCCACACACCCCAACGCTACTTTTTATAGAAGGCAAATTCCAAAGGCAGAAACAGAAGCTCACCCTTTCCTGAGAAAGGAGGGAGGGAGAAAGAAGAAACCTCACTTCCAGTCTTACTTAATAGGTCACCAGAACTTCTGAGATGAGCACAGGAGAGAGAAAATAACACCTTAGCACAACCAGGATAGGAAGGCAGGAGCAGCAGGACAAAAATCATGTCTCATGCCTTACCCTGAGTGTGTAGGGCCTCACCTGTGCTATTTACTCTGCTCAGGTGTTGGAAGACAGGAACCAGAGGAAGAGTGGGAGACCAAGTGGCCTCCTCTAGTCCCAGGCCTGGAGCCCAGGCCCATGGTCGCTGAGGTTACACCATTCTTACTCCCAGTTCTGCAGCCAGAGATCTTACCTACTGGTCTGGCAAGGACAGCCTGCTTGAGTCACCTCAATTTTAAAAAGTAATATTAGAACAAAAGGAGAATTTAAGGAATGTAATGCCAGAACCCAGTCATTTAAGCTGAAAATTCACTGAGTGAAAGTATTTCAACTGCAGTAAAAGGCAATTCCCATCACAGCACATCTCTGCTTGGCAGGGTTAGCAGCAGCTGGAGAGGACACATTCAGCTTTGAGCCAGTGTGGACATTACTTGAGAGTGTCAGGTCAGCCCTGAGGTCATTAGCAAGGAAGTGCTTTGCTGCTTGGACTGTAACTGCTTGTGCTGGAACCAAAGGGACTTGTTTTCATTGCTGCCAGTCATGAACACAAATGTTCTCTCAAAAAGATGGAAAGAGCAAACTAAACAAGAGACTTGCATAACGGCATTGTATTAAAAAAGTCAGAACCCAAACAGGACAGCAGAGGACGTGGGAGCCAGTCCGCATGCGAAGTTAAAGTATTTACTCTTCCTCACCCTGGGGGTTTCTTCTCCCTGAGCTCTTCCAAACAGGTTACCAAATTAATTTTAAGTTTTTAGCTGATTTTTTTCACCTAAACCAAACAGGGAAATATTTTGCCCACATGGCTAAAATTAATCTGAATTATAAACAACTGAAAACAGGTCTTTACAGTAGGAAGTATTAGGCAACTTTAATAATAGGTAGATCAAGCAGCCCCACCTATAATAAACAACAAATGCACCTCCCTAGAACAGATAGCATTTAGATGAGTTGGTATACTACAAAACCAAATCATACTGTTAATTTTTTAAGATTTCTAGTTAATGAAATGCTCAAGGAAGCTTTTAGGATGACTACTTTTTTTGAATTTTTTTTTCTTATGAGAAATAAAAAATTACCTTATCTTCTGCAAACTCTGCTTTTCTTCAGAGCACAGAACTTCTAATTCTTTAGGCTGAACACAAATCTAATAACTGAACAGATCTAATGGAAATAAAACAATTTATACCATCTGAAAAAAGGTGTCATCTTCATTACAAGCCCTCGAGTCTACACAGTTTGGACAAAGGGAGGAGAAAAAGTTAATTGTGACACTCCTGTGACATTAAAACCAAGTTGTATTTGGGTTCAAAATTAAGCACTCTGTTAGGCAAGCTTTCAAAATAAAACCCTGCAATTAATTACCACCATTACATAAAACTAGCATGATGCATACACCTATGTAAGAAAGGCAAATCAAAATTGAATAGACAACACTAGTTTTCAGCATTATTTATCTCAAGTGCTTGATTTTCCAGCCCTTATATTCTTTAAAAGGCAGCAAGATGTATAATTATTTCATTAGCACAGTAAGAGACACTATTTGTTAAGTACTAGGAAAACTGCTGATAGTTGAACTGCTCCTGACTGAACCAACAGATTTATGCTGCCATAATCAGCAACAACAGGGAAAACCTGAATTAAAAAGTATTTTTGGGTTTATTCTGTTCTATATCTGATCTCTGCACTTAATTAAGAAATCTTATCAGATAGCCACACTGGGACCCAACTCAGTCCTACCACTGTTACACGGGAACTTCACAAAGATTCTCCTGATCTTTCTGCTCCTCCTGGAATATCAAATACTCCCTTTCTTCCAGTAGCTATTCTCTTCAAAACAGATTCTCATCAAGAGCTAAGACTGAGTGTATTTACTCAGAAAGCAGAGTTCTGCTCACCTACAGCCATTATAAAAAGTTGAATGCTCACTTTATGCTGAGAACTTTACAGAAATACACCACCAAGAGCAGACAGCACAGAATTGTTGCTGCTCCTGTTCCCTTCTTACACTTTTTTTTAGAAAGCCAGCTGCAGTGTAAAAGGCAATGCTTCTGTACCAGCACTCTCAGCCACAGGAAACAAAGGATTTGCAAGCCTAGACTGAGCTTTTCTGTCCAAGGCCACTGCAGTGCAAAGTTCATACACTGCTGCTCTGCACCCCAGAGTAGGGATTCTGATGGAAACAGGAACACATCACTTTCCCTTTCCATTGCTTCTCCATCAATTTATGCCCTTCTTCTCCAAGGCAAGCACAAGCCATCCTACCTGCTACTCCTACGCTACTGGGTAAGCTACTTCTTTCACGCACTTCAAACTACTGACACAATGACAAAACATGTAAACAACCCCCATCTTCCTGGCCATTTGGTTTCCACACAAGACTCATGGAAAAGAAGAGGAAGGACATTAGTGAAAACAGGTGTAGAGAGATGAACAAGAGCTGTCACAGACAGAGAACCCTGCTTTCTATGTATTTCTAGCTTTTAACAATAGACCATCTGGAAAGAAGACAAAGATGTCAAAGAACAACTAACAAGGCCAAATAGTAAGAAATGAGAGAAATATAAACCAAGCAACAGTCAAATCCTCTGTCTAATAAGCCCCTCTTTCAATTTCACACCACTTAGCAACAAGTAGTTCAGTAATTTTAGGGTGGGAGATACCACAAAATACGGTAAGATTCATGACTAATGGCAGGCTCCCGGTGGGCAGGACAGTTGCGATGATCCCCCCGTGGCTGCAGGGGGCGCTGTGGCGCGAGCTCGGGCAGTACGTGGTAATGGCGGCTGTGTCCGAGACGGGAAGGGATGGAAAAGAGAGACTTTGCTTCATGAACCCTGTGGCAGTGTCAGTCCTGGTGCTCCAGCAGGATACTCGGAAAGAGCAAGCTGAAATGGCAGGACGTCCTAGCAGGGCCAGGCTGTCGGGTCCAGCAGTCTAAGAGGCAGCTCCCAGCTGGGCTAAGGCAGTGGTTGCAGCAACGGTTCTCATCCGAAGCCAAGAGCGAGCGAGAGCTAGTAACTGCCCCCACTCTCCTTTTACCTGCTTCTAATCTTGTGATGACTCTGTTCTTCTGAGAGAAACATCCAAAAATCAGAGGAGTTCCCCTTCCCCCATCTCAAGTACCAGCCATCACTGCTTCTTAGCAACTCAATGGGAAAAAGTGCCACAAGTAACAAGGAAAAGAAAAACCAACCTCCAACACCCCTGGTATTAAACAATACACCGACAGGTTTTAGCAAGTTCTCTTCGGTTCCACCTTTTCTTCCACGTGAAAAGACGCCAGCAGTTTTAAGCCATTGCAAAAGTTCGAGGGTTACACAATGCCACATCAGTCGGTCTTATCTTGAGGCAACTGCAGATTCAAGCTCGCTCTTACCATTTCTGGCAGATAGGTTCCTTCTGAGCAGCAGCACTCCTCAGCAGGAGACATGTGAATCTGAGAGAAACCAAGAGTACATGTTCTTTTATGTACCTTTTTCCTATAGTGTTCTGAAAGCCAATACTTCCATTGTAGTCAGTGGGTTTGCATTCTTTACTTCTACAATAATGCATTTCCCAGCTCAACCCGAGTCACTCAGCTCACTTTCCTTGTGCTGTCATACAACATGTGTGCCAGGATTCAGTGGAATTCAACGGCTTCATAAGAATTGTAAATGAAATTAAATTCCCTTTAAAAGTTCAAGCAGAAAACGACATAAATTGAAAGATTTGTTTCACTATGGATTTACTTTCCAGCTGAACTTGCTCACTGTTAAAACAGCACCACTGCCTAGGACTGTTTTATGAGATATTCTTGGGCAGGGGTGACAACTCACAAAAACAGGGCTAAGCTTTCACTGTAGAAGCTCCCTTCTGCTTTTAAGCATCACAAGACAAGAAAGTTTGACTGCAAACACATTTAATATGAATACAAAATTCACATAAGATATACATTCTAGGGAACGTAATTGAGCTATTACAAGAGATTCTGACAGAACACAAACATAAAGAAGGCTCTGTCAGGCTAAGAATTTAAGGAGGAATGATTAAAAAGTTTGATTTACAGTTATATTACAGCTGTGTTAAGCACTGAAAACTTTAAGAATGTCAGCTGAAAGGTGTTTGAACATACAGCACATAAATCATACAGTTCATACCATTGTAAACAGCATATTTGAAGCATTTCATTTTACTTAACATAACAAAGCAACATAACATGCAAATGAGGACTCCAAAATATTGAATTTAAAATGTCTGTGATAAAATTGACATATAATTTTACATTTAAGGACTGCAGAAATGATGAAGAAATTAAAAATACGTCCTCCATTTTGCTCCCATTACTGAAGTATGCTTTTCAATTAAACAGAAAAAACACACTGGCTCGATTTCCTCTCAAAATCATACCTGTCCATGAAGTTTAACTAAAGCTTTAAACTTGCTCTAAGTGTACAATGGCACAGCATTTAGACAGTTGTGTTCCCCTTATTAGGAACTGACAAACTATTACATGAAAGGGTTCTTAGATTACATACATTGGTGGAAAATATTATCTTATAAAAAGGCACATACCTGTGATTTAAGGCTAGTATGGTATTTGTTTCATAGAGAAGGAAACATTTTACATGAAATTAGCACATTTAATGGCTGGCCTCACTCAGCAAACCACTTGGTGCAAAGCAAAAACGTGCTCAGAAGCCTCAGATTGACAGTGATTCTTGCTTTAGTGTTTTTTTGTTGTTGGGGTTTTTTTAACCCTTTGGTGGAAAGGTATATTTTTAAAACAGGTATTTGCTGCAATTCCACTTGTCAATGAGCCATCTGCTACTGTTGCCTTATATGCAGATACCACATATAGGCCTTATATTATTCATCTGCAAAAATATTGTTTTAACTTTCTCTTTTTTTTAAAAATCATATGAAAATTACAAAGATGTTTTCTATAGTCATCTAGAAAATACCAATGTTGGTGCAAATCATGTAAACCTCCATTTGGAAATATTTTGACTAGCTATCAAAATATCAGAAATCACAAGCGTAATTTGTCAGTGCAAATCTATAATAGTTTTGTTTCCCCTCCCTCCTTCCCTCCCCTATCCCAGTTACAGAAAAAACTACTAGCTTTTACATACAAAAGGAGTGCTCTATATTTGAAATTATGTTTAGTTACCTTAAAGTCACCCACTTTCCTATCAAATTCAGTTTTACAGTATTATAAAAGGGGAAAAATTTAAAGCTGTCTGTTCAAGAATCAGTACAAAAGTCCTTCAACCCAACCCTTAATTATTCTCAGATTTAAAGAATTTTAGGTTAACATTGTGTCCTCTTCTATGATCTGATTACTGTTCTTCAAGCCAAGACGGGGCATCTGCGCCAGGAGTTTTCAATTTGATGTGGAACTGTTTAAGTGTCTGTTCAAGCTGCTTTTGATTGCCAGCAAAGTACGCTGCAATGGCACTGTGGAACAGAGCAAGCTGATTGTGCAATACCTTCACCTGCAGGCAAGGAGAGAATTAAAGAGGAGGAGGTTGATGTTAACATCATCACAGGTCAGTTATAAAGAAATAGGTACATTTAAAATGCTCAGACTTCCTATAGATTTATTTAACAAAAGCTAAAAAATACAGATAAGAAATGCAAATATGAATTTCTTTAACATTAAAGTGATTCAGAGTTTTCATAAAGTGTGGTTAACAGTCAATACCAACTCAGCATGCACAGAGCAAACACAATTCACTAAACAGCATAATGTTATCAAATATCAAACACTTGATTACAAGTACTTGATGCCTTGAAAGTAGATGCCAAACCTCTAAGATACGTGTCTACAGGCCAAATGGACCTCCCTGAAACAACAGTACATGGCAAGGACATTATCTGAGTATACAATTCATGTGTTTTCCCCCCCTTGCAGACAATTGATGCTTTCCAGCTCATGGACGCCTAAATCGAATTAAACTGATGTCCTTCTCTCAGCAATATTTCTTGCCCACCTCCTGTAACACAGGGTTATTTACAACGCTTTGTCAATATCTTGACTCTAACATTTGTGCAAAGTAGTCATTAAATACACCTATCACAGCAGCAACCAAAACCTGGAGAGAAGAGCACAAGGGCAGCTGGAGGGCACCACTCTTTTTCTCTTCCAGCCTGGTCTATGATAACAAGCTACTGTCTCATTGATTAAGGCAAAGTTAAGCAAATGTTACATTTCCATCTTAGCACACCAGGAAACCTGAAGCTGTGAATGGACAGCAGTATGCTGAAAAACATCTGTCCAGTTTCTCCTGCAGCCAAACCCTGTCATTTTTGTTCCTGAGTGTGCTCTCTGCCCAGCACCACCTTAGTCTTGTACCAGACCCCAAACCCCCACAGTGGTGGCCCTGTACCTATTACCAGTCTACGAGGCTGAGCGTAGCAGCAGGAAGCCAACATGGAACGGAAAAGAGGAACAAGGTGACTGAGTGAGCCCCAAGGGAAGATGTGGGAGGTAACAGATTAAGCTCAAAATTTACTACTCAAAATTTTAGATCACTGTCTCATGTCTCATCACAATCCACAAGGGACAGTCTACTTCTGTCATGCAGGGAATAAAAACTGTCCTTGGGCCAGGCTTGGCCTGTGCCTACCAGTGGGCCATGCCTGTTTTAAGGTTTTTGTTATTGGCTACTGTGCTTCTTGGAAATGCATGCAACACAATACCTTATTGTCTTCATTTAATGAAAGATCTCTAATTACACCCTCCACCATTATATTTTACATGCTCTGACATCTGAAGAGTGCAATATTTACTCAGAAATGAAATAAATATATTTTAAAAATTCCTTGAGGAAGAATGGCTGAGCATGTGTGTGTAGCCCTGCAGGAATATATAAAAATTCTGCACAAATTTAAAATTTCTGATTATATCATCTTTTGTTTTAACTGAATAGCAGACTCAATTAAAAAATTAAGTGAAAACCTCTTATTTGCCGGCCCAAATTTTCATCTAAGTTGCTCTGACAATCTGTAAACTGGAATCCCTATGTTTTCTCCCTATGTTTCCTCTAATAATTCAGATTAATTTATGCAAATACATGCCAAAGAATAGACATTTTGTCTCATTAACAATGCAAAATTTTACTTTATTCCACCAAAAGGCTCTCGAAGAAAATACATGAGAGGTATGAATGGTTAGACAGGAATTCCCCATTATACCTTTAGATGACTTTTTTTCCATTTACAAAAGAATTTAAAGAATTTATCACATACAGACATTTTAACACCTAGAAGATACAAGATTTAGCTAACTCCACTTGATCAATCAGAGTTCAGACTCTTTTTTGCATCATAAAAGACGGCCTCTTCTTCAGATTGTGTGGGCAGACAGGTGTATATAAACATACAGATTTTTAATCTATAAAAATGTTAATTACCAAAATATTACACTTTACAACTGGAAAATATTATAACAACATGAAGGGTTTGCTTTTAAAAGTTTAGACAGAAAGCACAGTGCTTTTCTTGAGCAGATTCTTTCATCACTGACATGCAATCTTCATGAAATCCAAGCCAGGAATTCTACAGAGAAGTACACTCACTGTTATAATAGCATATTATTAAAATGCTACAAGAGTTTTACTCATATAGTTTATAGGAACTCAAATAAAACAAGGGTAATTAACCTTGCCTACCAGGCTAAGTTCATCAGTCTGAAACTGTATTTGGTACTTTGTTAGGGTAACTTTTAACATAAACCTCCTGTGAACTGCCCCAAAATCTTCTGATAATTTAAAAAATTCAGTCAGACCTAGGCTCAAGGATGTGTGCACAGACACACAAACAAGCAGGAATTGACAGTGTAGAGGCAGATAATTTGGATTGAAAAAATATGCTTTGTTTTGGAGGGATTTTTTTGAACTACTAAAGCTACCTCATTGTATGAGGTTCTATCCCCTAGATCATTGTGATAGAAATTGTGATGTTATCAAACTGGTTGCAGAGGTTCAAAGTGTTACAACTTCTACTCTCCTCCTTCAGAAGCTGATTGCTAAGTGAATCCCAAAAGTGATGGTGGGATCTCCTTTTCCATAGCTTCATTCAAGTAACTTTAAGATAAAGTTTTTCTAGGAAAAGACCACTTAAACTGTCTGACACTGTACAAAGAAGCTCTACTATGAAGCAGCAGCCAGCAAAGGCAAAAAAAGCTGTAACACCTCAAAACACCCAATATCCACAGCAAAACCACCTGCAACCACAGCTAAGGACTGGACACCAACTATTCATTTAAAACCAAGTTCAAATTTACCCACTTTTCCAATGAAAGAACCTCACTCCAACTTGGAGAATGGGAAATTATCTTACCCACTCCCATGTCCAGTCACTGATTCCAACTTCCATGCTGTATTTCACCTCAGCCCTCTGTTGGCAAAACATTCATGCAGTATGCAGCCAGTTGAATCAGAGAACAAATCTAGATTAAAATTAAGCAGACAAAGTATCTGCTTTAACCTGCATCAGCTCCCCAATCTGATTCTCTACACAGCTGCAAAAACACTTTTACAAACAATAGAGAGAAAGCAATGGGGAGAAAGGGGAGGATGAATGGATCACTTTTTTTTTTCCAGCAAAGCCTTAAAACAATTATCAGACTACAGCAATAAAGGACAACTCTTGAACACCAAGCTGTAGCACTGATTCCAGGATAGGAGTGCTTGAAGATTTGCCTCAATCAAAGAATGCTAATGGAATGCTGCTAAAATACAGGTTCCAATGTATGACTAGTATAGCTGTCAAAAAGCCATCATGCTTTGCAGTTGAAAAACAGTTAAAATCTTTGTTCCTCGTTAATTAACTACATGTAACAATCTGTTCCTAAGTATAATTAGAGTAGGCACTCTATAATACAATTGGCAAAGATATCTCAAAACAAAACTGAACTTTGTGGATAAGCATACAAACCAAACACAACCTACGCAGGAGACTTAAGTATCATATACAGAAGATACTATAGGTTGGATTTGACTTTTCATATGGATGCTCTTAACATTTCAGTTCTTTGTAAATACTGTCCTCTTTCCCCATCTCCCTCTGAACACTATTTTCTGTGGCACAGTATGTGTATATTGCTTTACACTCTCCTCATTCAGCCTGTTTCAGTCACCTCAATAACCGAAAAGACAGCACCTCTTCAAGTCTTTCTGTGAGTTTGTACCTCCTCACAACCATCACAATCCTTTCTCCTAGCTATCTTAATTTGAAGGTACTTAATCTAAACAGTTTCATCATCTGGGTCTCCACTGGATTGTAGACTGCTTTCATTTGTGGAAGCAAGCATTTAAGAATCAAACTCCTGAAGTACAATGCATAGAAGTGAAGTCAATTTCTTTCTCTATATGGAATGGTATTTGACATTTCTTATGTGCATCCAAGACTAACAGTGTTTTCTTTAATCAAAAGAACAAAACCTTCTAAAACTGTTTTCAGAAGTGACAAATCTTTGAGCTAAGAACAGGCCATAATCCTTATTTTAAAAAAATAATTATTTGTAAGATGCAGATTTTGAATGCAACTATGCTTATAGTCATTAGCAAATACTATGAACTTTCTACAGAACTCTGCCAGCTGGGAATAGCACCAATAAAACTTTGTATCAGCATAAGCAAAATGAGTTCTAACTTCAAGATCAAATGCTGTAACAAAAGTCAATAGTAATTTGCATATCTTGGTTTTACAGACAGAAACTTGCAATTCCAGCTTTACTGTAAATGCAGCTCTCTGAGCCTTTGAGGGCTTTTAACTGAAATATTAGCCCATGAACTGAGGAGAAAAGGCACAAAGAGACTGCAACCATGCAATCAATGCCTTTTCCCTATATAGGGAAAATCTAGATAGGGCCATCTAGATTACCGGTTCTTTGGTGACATTTGCAGCAACACAGACCAACCAGAGCCCACCAGCCAGTTAAACTGGCTTCAGAGGTTCTTTGCAGCACCATTTACTAGGAAAACACCGCTGATAGTTGAACTGCTCCTGACTGAACCAACAGATTTATGCTGCCATAATCAGCAACAACAGGGAAAACCTGAATTAAAAAGTATTTTTGGGTTTATTCTGTTCTATATCTGATCTCTGCACTTAATTAAGAAATCTTATCAGATAGCCACACTGGGACCCAACTCAGTCCTACCACTGTTACACGGGAACTTCACAAAGATTCTCCTGATCTTTCTGCTCCTCCTGGAATATCAAATACTCCCTTTCTTCCAGTAGCTATTCTCTTCAAAACAGATTCTCATCAAGAGCTAAGACTGAGTGTATTTACTCAGAAAGCAGAGTTCTGCTCACCTACAGCCATTATAAAAAGTTGAATGCTCACTTTATGCTGAGAACTTTACAGAAATACACCACCAAGAGCAGACAGCACAGAATTGTTGCTGCTCCTGTTCCCTTCTTACACTTTTTTTTAGAAAGCCAGCTGCAGTGTAAAAGGCAATGCTTCTGTACCAGCACTCTCAGCCACAGGAAACAAAGGATTTGCAAGCCTAGACTGAGCTTTTCTGTCCAAGGCCACTGCAGTGCAAAGTTCATACACTGCTGCTCTGCACCCCAGAGTAGGGATTCTGATGGAAACAGGAACACATCACTTTCCCTTTCCATTGCTTCTCCATCAATTTATGCCCTTCTTCTCCAAGGCAAGCACAAGCCATCCTACCTGCTACTCCTACACTACTGGGTAAGCTACTTCCTTCACTCACTTCAAACTATTGCCATGATGACAAAATGTCATCTTACATAACAAATTGAAAAAAAATAAAGCTTACCTCATAAAATCTCTCAGCAGATAATTATATTTAAGCCAATATTTAAGTGTAAAGGAGGTCCTTTTTATAGCTCATTTCAGAACAGAATTACACACACCCTTTAGTAAATATTTTCCATCTTTAGTCTCAAAACTGAGAAGTGTCAACCACTGATAAAAAGGCTTAGGCATGTGAGATTCCCTACTGTATTAATCTAAAAGGAAGGAAGGAAGGAAAAAACAATCTCTTTCAGAAACAATTTATAGGCTGTGACTGCTAACAGGATGCTTGGTCTAATTCAAGACTGTCACTAGGAAGACAACTTCTTCAGTGTTCCCTAATCTAATTTAGTTTAAAAAAGTTATGGACATGTGTTTTATACAAGATGGAAATAAAATGTTTTTGCTCTGAAGCCTTCCTATACATATACACATGAATTGATAAGTGTGTTATATAGGTAATGGAAACAATGAGGAAGCAGGGTAAGTCCTATTTTAAACTAATTTGAACTTAAACATCAGAATTCCTATACAGATATGAACTGAAAAGATTAAACCATTTTAACAGAGGTACACTGTAGTGGTAGTAAACAAGTTAGTAAGAGAAGAAAACAAAGGCAGGGAGAGTAGGAAGACACCTTCAGCGTACGTGTTTTCCACCTAGCATAGTTTTAAAACTCAGTTCTCAGGAGCATTTTCTAATTCAAGACTCAGTATCAGGGTTGTCCTGGGGTACAATGCAAAAATGTGTATTCTATCACCATCCGTTGAAATGTGGGAGGGGTGGTGATCCTTATCTCTTCACAACCCATCCTTCCTCCAGAAGATGTATTCTGTTAATGGGCCATTAAGTCCTATTGTGTGACTGATAAAATTACATCATCCCATTGGGAGATACTCCAGCCAGGGGCAGGAGCCAAGCCTTTCCTACCTAGATAAAAAACTGGGGTTTGGGACGCAAAAGCAGCCCTTTTCCACTAGATCCCAGAGGAAAGTCAGACCTTTTCCACATCATCGCTGGACCTTCGGAGGAAAACTGCACCTTCTACAGGAAGACTGCAGCCACCATTTATACGGACTGCTACCAACACCCTGACTGACAGGGTGTCAGGTTGTATTCTGACTCTGTTGGTGGTTTTTCTTTTGTATTATTGCATGTATTTTATTTTTTCTCCTTTTTCCTATTAAATTGTATTACTGACTTGGAGTCTTGCACTGGTTTTGCTTTCAAACCAGCACAAGGGTTTAGACTAGACTTCAGCTTTTTCAAGAAAATTAATTTCAATATTAATTTTTTCAGTCCTTTTATTTTCCAATTTTTTCAGCAAGAACCAGAAATCAAGTTAGGCCAACGCCAATTTCTTAGTCATCTGATGATCTGGTCCATCACTAAGCCAACTTTTGATGGCTATGTGATTCCAGACCAGGGAGTCCTAATGCAGATGCCTGTATGATGGAACAGCGCTCAGGAGCTATGTTTTATGCATATATTGTTTGGAAACCAAAACGTTTGCTTATTTTCTTGACCTTTTTCTTATCATCTGTTGATGGTTCATGTTTCTTCCCCGACCTTCAGCTTTATTCTAAGAAGCTGATGCAACTGAATATGTGATAATATATTCAAGAATACAAGATATTAATCCATTTTAAATGGTTTAGCTTGTCCCCATGACTTCTCCTTTAAAATTTCTTCCTTCCATGCAAAGAGCATGGTTTCCTATTGTCATCTGGGGCCAGTCATGAATTCTTTGACAGGCTGTTGTTACCTGTGTTTCAATTTTTAAAATACATTAATCTGCCCATACTGAAAATGTTAACCCGCTGATAATATTAACACTGGATAAACTGACAACTATCTCCTAGGTAAATTTTAATCACATTTTCTTTCCTCTGAAGACATGGGAAATATAGCCACACATGATTTTAACCATCTCATTTAGCATGAGTATGAACAAAAATCAGATCTTGAAAGACCATAATTTTCACACCTAATTAGAGACAATTTAAAAGGACTTATTTATCAAAGAAAGGACAGTTTAAAAGTTTTGTATGGCAATTTTATTTTTGCCTTGTGGAATAAGAAGGGTAAGAATCCCATCATTATGAGGGTATGAATGAAATGGTAGGGTTGAAATAAACACTTCAAACCAACAGTTCAAGAGTCCTGTTTTAAATTAAGAAACTATAAGGGCATAAATTATAGAAAGCAGTTCAAATTCTTAAAGAAAGCTTAATTTTGAAGAAGCCTCTTCATAGTTCTGTCACTTTCTTTGTACAGAGCCTCCATGACAATGTTGCCAAATGTATGTATTACTTTGAATATTAAATCAGTAATTATAAGACTCATTTAACCATCAAATGTGGTAAACTGTAAAAGTAATACTTTTGCAAACTTGAAACCTCCTGTATCAACAGGAAACTTACTGCCATAATGTTTGTCATTTGTAGCTGGAGCAGCTTGCTTGGGGACTTCTAAAAGTGCATGCTCTAAAAGTGTGTCTTCCAGTGATACAGCAAGAACTCAGAAAATTCAGCTTATTTTCTTTGCTTGCTCTATTTTAAAATTAATATATATTTAAAGGTGTAACAACTTAAAATACTTCTAGAAAGCAGAAACCTCTAGAACAAAGCTCCTAAACATAACATGAGAAATAATAGCTTACCTTATTTTCTTCCAAAAATTTCAATTTGATAGATACATCATTACGCATTTTGTCATATTTCTCTTTATGCACTTGAAACAGTTGCTGTGATTGTTCAATCTTTGGCAGAGTGTTTGCATCACGAGGGCCAAGATTCAGCTCTTCCAGGTCTGTTCGATAAGCATCGTATTCAATCCTGAGAAGAAAAAAGAGAAAGGAAAAAACCCCATCTAAGGGCAGTGTCTCAAAACTGACCTCACATGTAAGTCCAAGTACAAGAGAAGATGAACAAAATAGTTAAGTACAGAAAATTAAAAAAAAAAAACAACAAAAAACTTGGGCAAGTTTTTTTTCTCCCTCCTCCTATTTATCAACCACATTGTATAAAACTGCCTCAACAAGCATGCTCTCTTTTCTGTTCCTGTCTTGGCCACATGTTCTCAGCCCCTCTGTTTTGTACAGGCTTCAGTAGTCAGAGATTTTCCTGGGACATTTCGACCTACTAACCCAGAAAAAGTTAGCAAGTATTTTTCAGGTCATTCTTCTGCTGTTAAATAAGTTCATTGGATAGTTTGTGTTGAGAGTAAGAGGAACCAACAGCAGGACACCCCTTTTAAGCAGACATTTGAGGAACAGGCCACTTACACCAAGCTCTTGACCTAAAGCATTTTCAGCATGCTCCAGGCTTCTCCACATGAATTAACTGGATATTTCATAGCTCTTCCACAAATACTTTTCTGAGAACTTGTCTGTCCTATGGAAAAACAGACTGCAAAAAGATGGTGCAGCTCTGCCCAAAGCATCACTCTTCCTTCCATACTTTTTGTAGCTGTCAAATAATGGCACCTAGCATATCCACAAATTTTAATGGGACAAACCACACCATTTCTGGCCTTTTAAATATGTTTTCTTACTGACATTTCTTAAACTGGAAACAAATCAGGATTAAAAAGTGGTTATAAAACACAATTTTCAGTTGATGTAACTGCTCAAAAGCAAAATACAAGCTTTTCAGAGGTAAAAGGAGTAATATTCACAGGGCTCTTCCTGATTCTCATTGCCAGTATGCTTGAGGATTTATATGTAATTTATGGCACAAATTTTCTTTCCAAAATGAAAACTATTAACCTAATAGAGAGCTGATAGAAGAGGGGAGCAGATGAATGCTAAAGTACAACTGGGGACATGAAAGAAGAGGCACAGAAATAAATGCAACCCATTTTCACAATGCAAAATTATGAACTGGCCATATCAGTGAAGAACCTTTATAATTTATTTGCCTTATTAAAATGGCAAAATATTTGATCTCTTTAGTGAGCAGAAAGGGAAAGCAATGAAGGTATTTCAGGAGGAAGAACCATGTATTGAAAATGACTAACAAGAACAATCATAGCAGATATATTTTGCGTAAACTTTCAAGGGGATACCTGGAAAATATATGAACCAATTCTTTTTTTTAAATGTGTCAAAAATAAAGCAATACCTTATCTACACATTAATTCTGTCTTTCATGCTTTTGAAAGTTTACCTAAATATCAAAACAATAACTTATTATTTTGTTTAAAAATAAGCATTAGAACAGAACAATTAAAAAAGGAGGGGAAAGAAATTCAAGATTCAAGCAGCTTGCAATTTCTGACCTAAAAGAACCCAAATATCACAAAAATTATATGCACAAACTACATCCTTTGTCAAATTAAAACAAATGCACTTTATTCTGGTAAGTGAAAGAATGAAACCACTCATCAAGAAAGAGCTACAAGTCCCTGGCAGGAAAAAGGAACCTGGCTTTAGTATATTACGCCACATATAAAAGTAACCTTCTCCAGGGTAGGAAAGCCATTATTCACTCACTAAGAAATTTCTGTTTTATTTTCCCCTTTCTGACCAAGCCTGCAACTTCTGCATAAAAACTGAAGTGTGACTTGCGGGCATTGTTCATCAACAGAGGCACAAGACTAAATGTCTTTCAGTCAAAGAAATTATTTTACCTATTGCAATGCAGCTAGTGTTAAATCTTCCACTGTCATGCTACTTACAAAGCCACCTTAATCTAGCACATTGGAAAAACCAGCTATAATTACTCCTACAGCTAACAAGTAAAATTCAGTCTACAAGGGAACATATACAAAACATTTGAAGATCTGTGCAATCACTTACAGTTAAACAAAACCCCTCATTGGATGAAAGCTGTGTTATAAGGTTTTTATCTGACAGGTTAGTCACTCAAATATAAGGCCTAAGCTGATACAGAGTCTGCTTCCCAAGGATAAATTCATAAGGAAAAGAGCAAGACGCAGGATAGCTACCTGGCACTTTCGTACTGTTTCACAGTCAACAACGTATCCTCAATTGTTTTATTCACCAATGTATTCACACTGGCAATAAAAAAGTTAATAGCCCCAAGAAGTGTTTCTCCATTTTTAGCTAGAAGTTTCTGCGTATCTGCATTGTAGCCAAACTCCTCCTATAAACAAAGAACAGATAAAACAAAGCTATAGATCAGTTGAAATTGTAGCATTCATCAGCAACTATATAAAAAAATGCAAACACAGATGTGGCAGGTCTTTCATTTCTGTTTGGGTATGATTATGATTAATCCAATATGATTTCAACACAATATTTAGTTCACAGTTCTTATAAAATCTCTCCAATATCAGTAAAACATAGTTTACAATTTTGTTACGACGTTAGGATTTTCTTTGTTATGTTGTTGGGATTTAAAATCATGTTAACACACATGATGTTAAATCCTATTTTATAATGTGATTTTTCTACACACTGATATCTTGAATGTTACTTAAAAGTAAGTGGTAATGCAATCTTCACATTGTCATTTAGCAGGGATTTAATTCAGCATCTCTTATGGCTGTCTAGGTAATGCTTTAATATGAACAGAGACACTACGACATTAAATACAGTAATGTAACTAAATTCACAAGGGCACACAGCATTAATTAGCTATTAAGTTTTATTCCTGCATTCTGGAAAGGAGTACTGCAAAAAAAACCCCAACATCTACCATGGTTTAATAGGCTGTAAATAATTGAAGAGCAGAGCATTATAATGAATAGCAAATAAAATGTAGCTATTTTTAATGTAGCTCATCCATAAATTTCAAAGGGACAAGGGCAAAATAATTTCCAAGGCATTTTAGTCACATTTAGACATATGCTTGTCCATGTCTCTTTGTTAACAGCAGTGTAAGCGGACCAAGGCTGCAAAGATTTTCCTAATGCATGGATGCCAAATGAACCCAATTATCATATCTGTCTTCCATATGGCATCTCCATATTCTACAGATGGGAGTTCTCACAAAAGAGTACAATCCCTGGTTGTATGTTAATGACTGTAAGACACACTAGGTTCATATTTGGAACTTCGGTCTTTTTCGGCTTGCACACTGCCAACAACTGACTCAGAAGTACTGTACTCTCCCTGTTTCCTGTCACCTGTCTAGAAAATTAACAACAGACCCAAATGATATTTCACGTCAACAAGTTCATGACAGTAAGGGTAATGGGTAATGGTAAGGGAAGAATCCTCTAGAGAAGAAGGTGCAGTGGAAGTGAGCAACTGAAGGAGAAGAAAAAAAGGAAGAGAACTGCAAGTTTTCGTGAGCTAAGCCCTGTAAAAATTGCTAAAAATCTGTCATCTTTGCTTTGTACAGCTGCTTGGGCAGCAAAAGCAGTTGGCTAAATTGCTACAGATTTTGCTGGAATAAAAACTAAAACAAGTGTTTTCCAGCTGGCTTTGCTCTAACATTGCCAGCTACACAGCTAACATGAGTGCTAGCACAGAGAAGAAAGAGCAGCATGCTAGCATAGACAACAGCAGTAGGACTGCCCCTTGCAGCAATTAGTCCCCTATATTTTTTCTCCTGCAGGCAAGACTCCAATTAGTTTTTCAGCTGGTCCTCTCACCCAGATCATCCCAGACCCAAATCAACAACACTATCAGTTCAAAGGGGGAGGTAAAAAGGATGGGACTGCAGTGGCCTGCAGTATTAACAAATATACTAACCAACAATCGTGTCCTTCCAATGGCTAATAGTTTCATACAAACTTTTCAGTTTTGTCCATGACCTCTGTAGATACCTCTTACAAAACACACAGGAAATCCTTTCTTCACCAGTTTAAACTCAGTTTATACTCTGTGCTAAGGTAAATGAAAATTGGGATTCATCTGCCTAAATGTGCCTAGAGGCACATGAGCTTGGAACCAGCAGTTATCTTTGTATCCAAGAGAAACAGCAACCCATTCACATGAAGTAATACCTCACCAGATACCACATTAAAATTTTGTTTTATTATCATGTGTAAAAGAAGTATTGCCTTGAGACTTGAGGGGGCTTTTAAATTTTATTTAAGCTTATATACTGTTATCACATTAAACATTAAAGACTAACTATTCAGAAATTTTACTTTTAGTCCTGCACAAGTTTTAGAGGCAAAACCCCAAATATCCAAAAGCAGGCCAGGCTACAGATGATAATACATTACAGATTAAACAGGAAAAACACAAAGGGGAAAGAGACAAACACCAGGCAAGTCCCCAAGAAGCAAAGCAAAACTTAAAAAAAAAAAGAAAAAGTAAAAGTAAAAACTTTTACTACAGCAGCAGAAACATTTATTTGATTTTCATCAACAACCCCATTCAACAATCTACACAAGAGATGAATGACGGAAACAAACCCCAAGACCAATACAAGATGTTGAAAGAACCTGGAAGACCAGTACTCTCATTGGAAGTTACAAGCTAATCATGGAAAAAACCCCAAGATTCATTAAATGAGCATGATGCCAGATTCCATCCAAATTTTGGAAGAAACATCCAGCTTCAGCACATATTTCATAATAATCACTAAGTTCTGCCACAAACCACATGCCCATATTTGTGCAAAGAATAAACTGATTATAAAAAGCTTCGTTTAGCAGATAATTTAATTTCTTAGTTGTTAGAAGTGCTCTACATTCACAGATTTTCGTCTGTCAGACTAATATTAAAAATTCCTCCACATAAGTGATAGCTACATGAAAAAATGTGAAACTCCTACACTAAAGGTTCCTCTGTGCAAGCATGAACTCCACCCATTCCCTTAAAACTCAGTGGGAAAAGACAATTATGAGAAGACAGATGTTTCCAAAATCACAAAGATAATTTGAGCTGTTTCAGCAGCTGTTTTAGGGAATTATTAAACCATTTAATATTGGTTTTCCAAAGCATCAAATTAACTTCACAAATGCAGAACAAGCAATGTAGAAGTAAGCCAGTTACTATACTCTGCAAGCAACATCCACTTTGTCTCTCTTTACAGCAAACAGCATTACTCCTGGTAATAGAAAGTGCCAGTGTTATAGTAACTTCTAAACCATGGATTCATAACAATCCAGGTATCTCAAGATTACCTCTCTTGCTCAGCAACTCCAGACAACATAAGAATACAAATTAGTCTTATTATTAGGAAAATTGTGATTAAAAAAGGACTTTGAGATCAAATCTCAAGGATTAAATATGCTACAGAAAAATAATTTACTCACATTCAGTGCACACAAGTGAAGTAATGTGCCCTAATCTACTTATGCCCAGGCACATTCCCCAAAGACATTTTCTAATTGAAATGACGTAACACTCCGGAACATTTTGATGACATTCCATTAGGTGCAAAATTAATACTAAAATGCATCTTCTCTACAAAGCAAAACTGTCAGTTCTTGAGTTCAACCATCAACTAGAGGCTAACATTTAAGAAACAGTAAAGAACTACAGTAATTTCAATAATTTCCTACAGTTTTAAGTGACTCACATAAGCTTTCAACACGAAAAGCATGTAATATATTGTTAACTACAATGTTTATAGAACTAGCTGTTAACTAGCAGATATCTTGCACGAGTCAATTTGTCTTAATCTTCATCTGTGCCATTGTATTCCTTTCACACTTAGCAAAATCTTACATGAAGTTCCAATGATTTCAAACTCAGGTCAGCAAATGCATCTCCAAGTTGCCTTTGGGTATGTACCATCTGGAACAGCTGCGTGGATAGTGTCTGTGCCAGTCTCAAGATATTTTCATATTTTTTTTTGTTGTCTTTCAATATATCTATCTGAGCTTCTAGTTCCAAGTCCACTGTTCTTGAGCCACGACCCAGTTTTTCAGAGATGATCTGACGTGTACACTGCAGAAAAGAAATTAAATTCTAAAGATTCAAGTATACTCAAGACAACACAGCATACACCCATTTTCAGCTTCAAGGGACATATAATTACACACAATTCTTTCACAACCACCCCTCCCAATATAAGTTTGCACAACAAACTGAAAAAGCAACACAGTCTTTAGAAGTTTATCAGGACTCAGCAAGAACAGTTTGACAAGTCTCAACTCCTACTAAGATGAATATTGAAGTTAGCAAATTAAGAGCATAACTAATTGTTTCTCAAGTAAAAGAACACTTATCTCTTTATAGGTTTGGTGAATCTCATTAAGTCAAAAGAAGCATTTTAGCCCACTGCATTTAACTCAATTAATAGGAGCATTACTATTCTGCATAAAAATGTCTAGTTAGTAATCTTTCGGGCTTTGTCTACCAATTATCTGATCAGAACATCCATGCTACATTTTACAAAAATGTTCATTTTGAGGTTTTTTTAGGGGCCAAGTAAGGTTTTCAGCATGTGCTTTTATAGCTGACTAGGAAACTGGGAACTCCTACTGAGAAATACGCAGAAGTATTAAAATGCACTTATTATTTACACATCTATAAAATGGAGATGATTGACTCAGAAAGACTATTTCTTTTTTGTCATAAGTCTAATTCGTAGTGGGCTTGCAGTTCACTAACACACTAAGCAGGAAATGTGCTCTTACACTACTGTAGACACCCTCACCCAGCCTATGGTTGTGACAGAGCAGGCTGCTACTACATTCCACTGATCTGCGACACCTTCTTTGCCAGAGATTTGAGCTCAGCTTGGCAGTGAACCTCCCAAGATGCACAGTGTGGCTTCCCTTGACCGAGACATAGGAAAAGCCATTTGCAAAGCAGATGTGTAACTAAGCTATACAGTTTCTCTATGGATAACAGAATTATTTACTGCTATAGTATGTTACTTGAAGTTAATCTGTGGTCCCAAGGCATGAACGAACACATAACCAACTTAGACATATGAAAAATTACTGCTAGAAATGAAAGATACAAGGAAATTAAGTTAGTATTAAAGGCCACAACTACTCTAAATGGACTTAGCCTAACCACAAAGCTGCTATTTTAAATTTTTTTTGTGAAATAAAATGCCCAAGCTTATCTTATAACATACTCCCCAAATACACTACAGCACTGGATTTCCCAGGGCTCCCCAATTCAAAGACTTTAATTTAATACCATCTTTACTTGTGTCCAAAGGAGATGCACATTCAACCTGCTAGTACTTCCATGTTCCTTCTTAATAGATGAACACAGGAGACACTCAAGAATGATCAAGGAGATCAAGTTGGTCATGACCCATAAGGTTTAGGTCACAAGATACAGACTATTTGGGCTACTTTGTTAGATTCAAGTAATTCACAAGAAAAAGCACAGCTAATCTAGGTGGCCTTTGTCTGTCAAGCACCACAGATTTGGGAGAGCATAACAAATTGTAACATAGAATACAACTTTACTACCAAAGACTCCAAGAGAAATTGCAAAATACAGTTTAGCTCTGAATGTGCTCAGAGCATAAATAAGCCTTTCATTAGGAATTATGGAAGTGATGGTCAAATTTTGGCTATTATCCAAAAGAATTGATGCTCACACACAAACCCCCATGGAAATGCAGGAGAAAAGTCTGAATCATGAAAAGCAAAATTTTTGAAAGCAAAGATAAATTACAAAAGAAGGAATTGTTTTCAGCCAAAGAGTAGTTGCTTCATAAGTCACAGCAAAACACCTAAAAAAGCCCAGCAGTGACAAGTGAAGAAAAAACAGTAACTGGAAAGATTTCATACATCACATACTTTTTAAACTCAGATGTAAAAAAAGATAAAGAAAACACCCCAATCTATTCTGATTTACTTCAATTCTAAGTGGACAAGTAGAAGCACACAAGTTGCTCTATATTCTCACTAGCAAAGAAAATTTCATGCATTAATTCCATTGTGCTTTGTTCTAAAACTATCTATAAAGGAAACTGCAATGAAAAAGACAATGCAATTAAAAAAGAAGTCATCCAATGCACAGCTTAAGAAAAACAACTCAGAGAAAAAAAAAGGTTACTGCAGTGGTTTTGGTTCACCAATTTGAGATTTCCCAGCCAATGCACCAATTTATGTAATGGATGTAGTGTTGGCCAAACACCAGTGAAACCACTAGAATTATTTACTCATTTCCTGCTGTGAGATAGGATTAGGAAGAAGGCAAACAGTCTCCAACTTTAAAGAGTATAAAGAAGAACTTTATTAACAGGCCTAAAAGAATAATAAGAATCAGAATAAAACCTTCAGAACACTTCTCCTCTCATACACCCTCTTTTCTTTCCCACTGAAAACGTACAGAAATAATTCAGTTTATCACTTCTAGAATAGTCTTTCTCCAGTTCACTTAGGGAATCTCTCTTGCCATGCTAGGGAGACTTCTCCACAAGAAAACAGTTCTCTCCTGGCTTCAGTGTCACAGAGAATCAGCCGCCTGGGAGAATGGAAAACTGATCACTGTGTAAAAGTCCCTCCCCTCGACCTACAGCTTTCCCCACAATTGTTTTCAAGGGCTCAATCTTTGCCTAATAGGGTACACTTTCAAGGATGAGCTGTTCAGAAGCAAAGGTTCTCATTATCTATCTCTAAGATCATCATCTTCTCTGGGAACAGAGATCTTCTTCCCTGGAGGCAAAGGGTCTTCATCACTCTTCTCTCGCTTTGTTCAAACTTCTCATGAAATCACAGCTACCTCAACATCTTCTTGTTCAGCATGGATGTCTTTGCTCATGTCTACAATTTGAACGCTATACTCCCATGCTTTTTCAATGAGTTTCAGGGAAAAAAGAATCTGAGATAACAATCATATATTCAGCATAGCCTTACAAGAGAATTTCAGTCCAAGCTAGGGCATCTTCTCATCCCCTCCCATCTCGGACCTGACTCCGTCCTTACTGACCTTGATGTCTTCACACTGTTTCTCTACGTGCCTTCACTCTGTCCTTTTCTTTCACTTGAGAGAGGCTGGAAGGTCTGCAAGCCTCATCTGTGCAGTGAAAGACTTAATATCCCACCCAAGGCCTGCAAATGGTCATGTGATCTCTGCCAGTTGGCGGCCTGGAGCTGTTTACGATGGAGAATTTTTCGGCAGCTGTGCTGGGGGGGAAGGATCTTAGCAGCCAGGCTAGAGCACAGCGACAGCATGCTGCGGGTCGATGGCTTTCCCTCCCCCTGGTTTCTGGTGAAACTCAGCAGTGGCAGCATTCCAGCCCAGCCACAGGCTGGTCCGGCTGCACTGAGGGGAGAAGAAAGCAGCCAGGATCTCAGCAGGCAATGGCCTCCCTTCCCCCTGCCTAGCAACCACTGGGGCCCAGCCCAGTCTGTACCTGTACTGAGGCCAGAAAGAAAAAAGAGACTCCCAGGGTTTGTTCATTTTTAACATGTGTGTTCACAGAGGCATGTTCAACTTTCTCAGTAGTTTAACAGTTGTTAGCGCTCAAAACCAATCACTGATTGGTTTTTGTCAGACACAGAGGAAGCTCTTAGCAGCTCCTCTCAGAAAAATCACTTGCATGGGTTGGCTTCAATGCAAAATCAGCACAGTTACCAAAATACATTTAAGAGAACTATATTTTAAATTGCATATGCCAAAGATGAACAGAGGCATTACTGGGCATGTCTTAGAAATAAATGTTTTACTAGTAGCCCACTGTTAGAGAGGTTTGTAAAACAGGTTTGCCTTTTTTTCCCCTCAAAGTTTAAGAAGTATGAAAAACAAAAAGATAAGCTTGTTAGAATTGCTGAAAGTCAAGGAGAGTCTTGACTTTCTTGGGCCTAAATGTTTTTGCTAGATGGAAAATCCTTCTTAGCCAAAGGGGAAGGCATGGGCAGAAGCAAGAACAGAAAAAGATCCTGTCACTAGACTATGGAAAGAAGGGCAATTTCTCTTCACACTAACTCATGATTACTAGGGAGCATTCAACTGGAAAATGTGAAGGGCGATGGTAGTCACAAAGGCATTTACAGCTGGGAATGACTTCTGAACATTACCCAATAATAATTAAGATTTCTCAACCCTTGATACAGACACCATGGTATAGGAACTACTCATGTTAGATTCCTAAAGAACTTCCTAACAACAAATTTCACCACTAACTCCCCTTGCAGATTAATGTCTGGTACATTGATACCAGAGATTTTAAATTCAGACAGATTCAAGTGCTGACATTTACTCCTGCCCTTTATTTCTGCATCTTCAAACTTATGAACAGTTAGCTATTGAGATAAGGAGGGCACTTCTCATGATCTTCCTGATGGGAACCAAAGCAAGCCAGTATGTCCACAAATTTAAATACTATATTTAATAATATATAATAATATAATATAATAATATATAATAACCATATTAAATATGCTTTTTGTTCTAAGCCTGCAACACCAATGTATGACATCTCAAGTACAGTTGCACAATACTCCATCAACTCAAAATGAATTAATAAGTTCTCTGAATGATCTTATACCTCAAACAAAGAGTGTACAGCAAGTCAATACGGAACTCTAGAAAGATCATAACTGACACATCTCCTTAGGCATGTTTGGGAATAGATAAAAGTAAACATGTCGTTTTCTGAAAATGCTAGTCTTTGTTTGCTATGTCATTACTGGTGTGATTCTGGATCTCAGCAAGGGGGAAGCTTAAGCCATAAAAGAAATCTAAAAATCTGGACTTTGCAGACACTACAGCCAAAGAAATAATGTTTGAAACAAAGATCCAAGACTCAACACTTCCCAACATTTTTCACTAGTCCTCTGGCTGTTGGTTCATGTCAGTGAGTTTGAGACATTGTGAGTTTTTGTGGGTTTTTTTTATAAATCAAGGTACCAAAAATACATAATAAGGTCAAATCCTGTCCCATTTAGTTGTAGTATAGGAGATTTAATCCCAAGAGTCAATGCTCTAAAGAAACGAGAGAACTTTAAAGAACAGCTTCAGATGAATAGCACGTATTCTGATTGGACCACATCACACTCCAAAGTAGCTGACAGACAGAATCACAGAATGGGTCAGGTTGGAAAGGACCACAATGGGTCCTCTGGTTCAACATCCCTGCTCAAGGAAGTCCATCCTAGAGCACATTGACAGGATTGTGTCCAGAAGGTTCTTGAGTATCTCCAGCGAGAGGGACTACACAACCTCTCTGGGCAACCTGTTACAGTGCACGGTCATCTGCACAGTAAAGAAGTTCTTCCTCATGTTCAGGTGGAGCTTTCTGTGCACCAGTTTCTGCCCATTGCCTCTTGTCCTATTGCTTGGCACCACTGGGAAGAAGCTGGATCCATTATCTTGACGCCCTCCCCTCAGATACTTTATAGGCATTCATGAGATCCCTTCTCAGTCATCTAAAGCTGAACAGGCCCAGCTCCCTCAACCTTTTCTCAAAAGAAAGCTGCTCCAGTCCCTTCATCATTTTTGCTGCCCTCCACTGGACCTATTCTAGCAGCTCCATGTCTCTCTTGTCCTGAGGAGCCCAGGACTGGACACAATACTCCAGATATGGCCTCCCCAGGGCTGAGTAGAGGGGCAGGATCATCTCCCTCAACCTGCTCACAATAGTCTTCCTAAGGCACCCTAGGATACCACTGGACTGCAACTTATGCAGTTTCTACAATATTTAGTTGACAAGAAAAGTAGCAAATCTAAAAGCCATTTAATTAGACATAAAAAATAAAAAAAGAAACTTCTGATTCTAACAGAAAGACAGCATAAGCATCTACTAGGAGAAGAATGTCTCCATCCCTGCTTTTCATCCTTACTGAGGAAGATGTTCTTATCTGGACTTACAGAACACTGGAGGGATTTGGACTTTCCATAGATTGTTAATTTCTTCGTGGTTTGATGTAGACCTCACTGATGCACCTGTCCACAACTCTAACATTTAAGCTGTAAGCATAATAAGAAGCTATTTTTCAAGACTGGTCTTTGTTTAAAATTTTTGACAGGAATGCCCCTGACAATTGTTTTTTACCTTATAGCTTTTTAATGAGTCACTTCCAGCAAACTGGTGTGCTTTAAGCACCTTTTCATTACTCTTACGTTATTCTTTTAATTTCAAATCTCAACTGATCATGAAGTAGAAGCATATAAAACACACACAAATTGAAGCAACTATTACAACACTAAGAAAAAACAATCAGCCAAGATGAAAAAAAAACCATCAGAATAACAATTAGAAAGTTCTGAGTTTATAGATACCCCTTACTTTTTCACATCAACTAAAATCTTATTGTATCAGCAGTAAATTCAAAAAGAGCAAAAAGATTTAATTCCAAGCTTTAGTGCTGAAATAGCTACATTTAGAATGATGAAGTGAACATTAGAAATGGAACATTCTTTACCTTGCTGAATCAGTAACACTTATTAAAGATTGTCCACATTACATCAGGGATTTAACAAAGAATGTTACACTTGGAAGAAAACAAAGCCTTTGTTGTATTGCACTGTTTGTTTCCTAAGTTGCACCGTTCATGGTTGTTATGGTATCTTCCATTCTCCCCCATTGGTCTGCGACATGGTCGAATTCTTCCTTTCACCCCTCCCTGTCAGCGGCGTCCCATTGGTCGTGGGTCTGTTCCTCCCCTCCCCTTTCCTCGAGTTTAAAAATGCCTGCCATCTTCTCTCTCGCTCTCTTTCTCCTCTCACCATGTGGATGCTACAATGAACTGTGGATCATTTTTCCCCACAGGAGAAAAGAGCCTCCTTTAGTCTTTTATCTTTGTCCTTGATGGAGTATTCTCCATCCCCCGCAGTCCAGAGCAAACTGAGAGGACCCGTGGAGAAGAGGAATCCCAACAAGCCTTTCCTATACATTCTTGCTTATGCTCACTGCAACAACAGCTTACTTTCATACAGCTCTATTTCTTGGTATCTAGTAGCAAACTCACTTATAAAAATACATACATACACATGCACACACATGGCTGCATACCTTATAAGTGTTCAGGCTCCACTTTCTCACCAATTCTAGTTTTTCCATGGCTGGATTCTTTACTTCATCTGCTAACACAACAGGTCCACTCTTCTGCTGAGCTCTGCCCCCTATGTCAGATACAAAGCAAATCTTCAAGCCCTTGGGTCTAGGCTTTTTATTTGTTAGTTTATTTTAAGGGATTAGTAGCAGATTTGTGCAGTTGGACATCCAAAAACAGAGCAAGGTGACAGTAAGAACTTAAAATGAATAAGCAGATTTTAAAAATCAGTTCCAGAAAGAAAGACTTACTTTAAAAGTGATATAAAATGTATACATATATATGTATCTCACTATTTCATGAAGTAATAGGCTGAATTAAGCATACTGAAAGCTTAAAACAGCTTTTGAGACATATTTATTACTTAATCTATGTTTTAAAACTCCAACAGTTGAACACTCTTTTGCATTTAGTCAATCTAAAAGTCTGTTTACAACCTGAAGACCATTAAACAACATTTACCAGCATACTGTTGTCATGAAGTACAGAGTTTTCTAATCTTTTCTAATGAAAGTCGTTCTTTCCAGAAGATGTGTTTGGCCAATATTTAATTTATTTATTTCAGTTTCATTAGCTCATTGTATTAGGAACAATTAATTCTACAAACCATGAGTATAAAACAAGCAAAGAAGTGATTTAAAGCAACAAATTAAAATCCCTAGGGCCAATCACCACCATAAAGGGCCATTACTCAGCATTTTCAAGCTAGTATGGAATATCATGTGGATTCCATGTTTGAATTTTGCAAAATTCCTAGTGTCCTAAATATTAAAAACTGCTAAGTATCGTCACTTTTTAAGCAACATTTTCATTTATTCATGTCCATATTCATTTTAACTACTCCTGACTCTGATCCCTACTGCTATGTACAGTCACCTTAGTCTTACCAAGTTATTTATGAAAGCAAGAGTTTGGAAAAAAGTCTACACAGATGCCTCAAGATACTCTTCTAGCATCAAGTTCTTTATATCTTCAACATGCTGTGCAAACATTAAGTAATTAACCCTCTAAACACCCTTATGAGGTATCTGAGTTAAGTTTTCTCCTTTTATGCAGGAGGAAGCAGATTAAGATGTTAAGTAATTTGCCCAAAGGCACAAAATGAGTCAAGTGGCAAAGCTGAGTTCGGGTGTTGTGAATTCCTAAAGGCTGCCCCCGTAGTCTATTGTGATCATTTGGGCAAAAAATGCTAAAAGTTTCAGCTTTAAGCGAAATAAAAGATTTTGGTCACTCCTATTTTATCTACTATTTGTTATTATTAATATTAGTTATAATTTTAATTTTATGGAGTAAAAGCAGCTTAGAGAGTGGAAAGCAGCAGTTAATTTGTAAACTGTAAACTGTTGAAGTCAGAAGTGAGAACCACCAAAATCCTGCAGAAATTTTATTTCCAACTAATAGTACATCAAATAATTAGAAACATGGAAGGGTTAGTACAGTGTCAGCAGAGACAAGGGCATTATCCATTCAGTGCTTTGATACCTGTGGGAATAATTGAATCACAACCTTGTCCAGCCAGTCTGCTAGCTGCTGCACTGCTAGGAGATATAACAGATGATTTGGGTGATGCTGAGGAACCTGAAAAGGGGACATTTAACCATGAATATCCATCATCTTCCCTTAGAAGTGAATGTGCACTCTTAAAGAGACATGTTTTCAAAACAAAAAACCATTTGCTTCAGCAGCTATGGAAGTATTCACAGAAAAGTTGTTGGAATTTCTGATGGAAATGTTTTTCAAGAGGTGCATCTCTCCATGTGAACTACTCCAAGTTTTCTTGATTAAATCTTTTTCTCTAGGTCATGATGAATTTGTTTTTTCTCTAAGAACAATCAAAATACAACTGAAGGGTTCATCAGTGAAGTACAGACCATAAACAGAAAAATCCATGGAGGACTGTTATATAACAATCCACAGCAGAAACGCTCTGTTTCAGGTCTATGTGGAATTCAATCTGCACTGCCACTGAATGGTACTTAAAATATTAAGAGGTGAAGTAAGCCCTGAAATCTCTGTCAATTTCAGATACACTTTATTGACATTGGCTCTTAAGTCTATGTAAACATGCAGCAGTAAGTTATTCTGAAGATCATACAAGTCATTAGCTGTGAAAGTGTGTAAACTCATTCCCAAAAGAAAGATTTTACAGCACTTGCTTTTTCTTTTAAAAAAGCAAACAAACAAAAAAGAAACCCAAATCAAAACAAAAAGCAACCAACTTTAAATTACCTCTACTGTGTGTGCTCTCTAAGCTGTTTTAGGATTAGGCTCATTATGCTTTTCAGAGCCTTACCACTCTTTTGTAACAGATAAATCTGAAGTTGTATCCTTATGGAATTTTCAGGATTTAAAAAACAAGTCAGCTTTTCCTTTGTAATGATGAATGACCACCATACTGGGGGGGAACTTGAACTGCTTTTTCTGAGAAATTCCAATATACTTCAGGGCAAGTGTGCTGAGGGGAAAGAAAATTAAATCTAAACTTTGCAGTTTCAACAATATTTAGTCATCAGTAACACCAAAAACATCACTCAAAGTAATTGGATCAACAATCAACTTTAAAGAATTCCACAGAGCACAGCTAACATGGGGTAAATAATTCCAATGATTTGGATCCAACTGCACAGAAAAGATGAGACAAAGACAGCTCACTTGCTGTGTCCTTCTGTAGATATACATTGCATAAGAGCTGCAACTGAATTCATCCAGACATAAAAGTTTAACTGCAAGATCTTGCCTGAATCATTTCAGCACACAAGCCAAGACAAGCATTTAAAAATCCTTGTAATTTAACAGAGTATTAACACAGCCTTATGCATGCTTCATCATTCAACATCCTCCAAATCCTAAAAGGCTTCCCCTCTAGCACTGTCTATTTTGCATTCAAAAATGAAGCCCTAATAAATACACTCAAATAGAATACAAAATTTTTAGAAATAGGGCAATCATTCAACTTTTCTCAATGGTTTCATAGGAAGCCCTAGCTTTTACCACTTCTCTCTGATTTTGTTCGAACATCAGAAAAATCTTAGGAAAATATCCTTGGAGAAAATCTGTGATACCCAAAGTGTCCAAAGCTCATAATTTGTGTTCAGAAATTTCCACAGAACATGTGCATGTCAAGCACATTAGGGTAGCTTGAAACATTTTTAGACACTTTTCCCTTACAGGCTAATACACTTAACAGCTGCAACAGTTATCCTGGTAATAGAATACAAAAAAGAATAGAATACAAAAAGGCAGGAATGGTGAGCAGCTTGCCATCTGCTCCAGTTTTTAGCTGGTTTTGCTATTTTCAAAGGCATAAAGAAACACAGCATTCACCTTGCAGTATATGTAAAGTACAACATGTAAATCAACTGTTTTCATAAGCAAAGAATTTTACCAAACAGGAAATGAACCAAAATGCAAATTAAATTTATGACTACAAAGAGACTTACTTTCACAGCTGCACATCTGAGAAAATTTCAAATCTTTCAAATTCAGAAACTGTCAAAAGTACATAATTCATTAAATACCATTTGCCCATACAATATCATGGTATTCTATTGCTTATAGACAGGAAACAGTAACATCATCGGCTTGTCTATCACTTCGCATTTCTCATTGTTTAATACCACTTATGTTCTCTAAGGCATACATTGATACGACAAGATGAATCCCAGTTTTTAATCTACTCTCAGAAAGTGAAGTCTGTATAATAAATAAATAAATAACTCTCCAGTTATGTTTCAAATCAGAACAGTAACTTGCAAAATCTGAAGAAAACTTCAACACAATGCAATAGTAAAATTCTTCAGCCTGGCACCAGTTCAAGGTGCACAAGGTCTTCTCCTCCTATAAGTGCAGACCAACTTAACACTAAATAGTTTCTTCCAGTCCCTTGACAGATTCTACGAATGTAGCATATATTCTCTTTTTTAACCACCCAGCTACAAGAGAAAATAAACTGGTTGTCACTAATGTGTACATTCATCCAAACTGCTCAAAGCGGCTACAGAACATTGTATTTCTGACCATGTAAGAATATGCCAAAAGATTTTAAATTGAAAAATANGCAGCATTCCAGCCCAGCCACAGGCTGGTCCGGCTGCACTGAGGGGAGAAGGAAGCAGCCAGGATCTCAGCAGGCAATGGCCTCCCTTCCCCCTGCCTAGCAACCACTGGGGCCCAGCCCAGTCTGTACCTGTACTGAGGCCAGAAAGAAAAAAGAGACTCCCAGGGTTTGTTCATTTTTAACATGTGTGTTCACAGAGGCATGTTCAACTTTCTCAGTAGTTTAACAGTTGTTAGCGCTCAAAACCAATCACTGATTGGTTTTTGTCAGACACAGAGGAAGCTCTTAGCAGCTCCTCTCAGAAAAATCACTTGCATGGGTTGGCTTCAATGCAAAATCAGCACAGTTACCAAAATACATTTAAGAGAACTATATTTTAAATTGCATATGCCAAAGATGAACAGAGGCATTACTGGGCATGTCTTAGAAATAAATGTTTTACTAGTAGCCCACTGTTAGAGAGGTTTGTAAAACAGGTTTGCCTTTTTTTCCCCTCAAAGTTTAAGAAGTATGAAAAACAAAAAGATAAGCTTGTTAGAATTGCTGAAAGTCAAGGAGAGTCTTGACTTTCTTGGGCCTAAATGTTTTTGCTAGATGGAAAATCCTTCTTAGCCAAAGGGGAAGGCATGGGCAGAAGCAAGAACAGAAAAAGATCCTGTCACTAGACTATGGAAAGAAGGGCAATTTCTCTTCACACTAACTCATGATTACTAGGGAGCATTCAACTGGAAAATGTGAAGGGCGATGGTAGTCACAAAGGCATTTACAGCTGGGAATGACTTCTGAACATTACCCAATAATAATTAAGATTTCTCAACCCTTGATACAGACACCATGGTATAGGAACTACTCATGTTAGATTCCTAAAGAACTTCCTAACAACAAATTTCACCACTAACTCCCCTTGCAGATTAATGTCTGGTACATTGATACCAGAGATTTTAAATTCAGACAGATTCAAGTGCTGACATTTACTCCTGCCCTTTATTTCTGCATCTTCAAACTTATGAACAGTTAGCTATTGAGATAAGGAGGGCACTTCTCATGATCTTCCTGATGGGAACCAAAGCAAGCCAGTATGTCCACAAATTTAAATACTATATTTAATAATATATAATAATATAATATAATAATATATAATAACCATATTAAATATGCTTTTTGTTCTAAGCCTGCAACACCAATGTATGACATCTCAAGTACAGTTGCACAATACTCCATCAACTCAAAATGAATTAATAAGTTCTCTGAATGATCTTATACCTCAAACAAAGAGTGTACAGCAAGTCAATACGGAACTCTAGAAAGATCATAACTGACACATCTCCTTAGGCATGTTTGGGAATAGATAAAAGTAAACATGTCGTTTTCTGAAAATGCTAGTCTTTGTTTGCTATGTCATTACTGGTGTGATTCTGGATCTCAGCAAGGGGGAAGCTTAAGCCATAAAAGAAATCTAAAAATCTGGACTTTGCAGACACTACAGCCAAAGAAATAATGTTTGAAACAAAGATCCAAGACTCAACACTTCCCAACATTTTTCACTAGTCCTCTGGCTGTTGGTTCATGTCAGTGAGTTTGAGACATTGTGAGTTTTTGTGGGTTTTTTTTATAAATCAAGGTACCAAAAATACATAATAAGGTCAAATCCTGTCCCATTTAGTTGTAGTATAGGAGATTTAATCCCAAGAGTCAATGCTCTAAAGAAACGAGAGAACTTTAAAGAACAGCTTCAGATGAATAGCACGTATTCTGATTGGACCACATCACACTCCAAAGTAGCTGACAGACAGAATCACAGAATGGGTCAGGTTGGAAAGGACCACAATGGGTCCTCTGGTTCAACATCCCTGCTCAAGGAAGTCCATCCTAGAGCACATTGACAGGATTGTGTCCAGAAGGTTCTTGAGTATCTCCAGCGAGAGGGACTACACAACCTCTCTGGGCAACCTGTTACAGTGCACGGTCATCTGCACAGTAAAGAAGTTCTTCCTCATGTTCAGGTGGAGCTTTCTGTGCACCAGTTTCTGCCCATTGCCTCTTGTCCTATTGCTTGGCACCACTGGGAAGAAGCTGGATCCATTATCTTGACGCCCTCCCCTCAGATACTTTATAGGCATTCATGAGATCCCTTCTCAGTCATCTAAAGCTGAACAGGCCCAGCTCCCTCAACCTTTTCTCAAAAGAAAGCTGCTCCAGTCCCTTCATCATTTTTGCTGCCCTCCACTGGACCTATTCTAGCAGCTCCATGTCTCTCTTGTCCTGAGGAGCCCAGGACTGGACACAATACTCCAGATATGGCCTCCCCAGGGCTGAGTAGAGGGGCAGGATCATCTCCCTCAACCTGCTCACAATAGTCTTCCTAAGGCACCCTAGGATACCACTGGACTGCAACTTATGCAGTTTCTACAATATTTAGTTGACAAGAAAAGTAGCAAATCTAAAAGCCATTTAATTAGACATAAAAAATAAAAAAAGAAACTTCTGATTCTAACAGAAAGACAGCATAAGCATCTACTAGGAGAAGAATGTCTCCATCCCTGCTTTTCATCCTTACTGAGGAAGATGTTCTTATCTGGACTTACAGAACACTGGAGGGATTTGGACTTTCCATAGATTGTTAATTTCTTCGTGGTTTGATGTAGACCTCACTGATGCACCTGTCCACAACTCTAACATTTAAGCTGTAAGCATAATAAGAAGCTATTTTTCAAGACTGGTCTTTGTTTAAAATTTTTGACAGGAATGCCCCTGACAATTGTTTTTTACCTTATAGCTTTTTAATGAGTCACTTCCAGCAAACTGGTGTGCTTTAAGCACCTTTTCATTACTCTTACGTTATTCTTTTAATTTCAAATCTCAACTGATCATGAAGTAGAAGCATATAAAACACACACAAATTGAAGCAACTATTACAACACTAAGAAAAAACAATCAGCCAAGATGAAAAAAAAACATCAGAATAACAATTAGAAAGTTCTGAGTTTATAGATACCCCTTACTTTTTCACATCAACTAAAATCTTATTGTATCAGCAGTAAATTCAAAAAGAGCAAAAAGATTTAATTCCAAGCTTTAGTGCTGAAATAGCTACATTTAGAATGATGAAGTGAACATTAGAAATGGAACATTCTTTACCTTGCTGAATCAGTAACACTTATTAAAGATTGTCCACATTACATCAGGGATTTAACAAAGAATGTTACACTTGGAAGAAAACAAAGCCTTTGTTGTATTGCACTGTTTGTTTCCTAAGTTGCACCGTTCATGGTTGTTATGGTATCTTCCATTCTCCCCCATTGGTCTGCGACATGGTCGAATTCTTCCTTTCACCCCTCCCTGTCAGCGGCGTCCCATTGGTCGTGGGTCTGTTCCTCCCCTCCCCTTTCCTCGAGTTTAAAAATGCCTGCCATCTTCTCTCTCGCTCTCTTTCTCCTCTCACCATGTGGATGCTACAATGAACTGTGGATCATTTTTCCCCACAGGAGAAAAGAGCCTCCTTTAGTCTTTTATCTTTGTCCTTGATGGAGTATTCTCCATCCCCCGCAGTCCAGAGCAAACTGAGAGGACCCGTGGAGAAGAGGAATCCCAACAAGCCTTTCCTATACATTCTTGCTTATGCTCACTGCAACAACAGCTTACTTTCATACAGCTCTATTTCTTGGTATCTAGTAGCAAACTCACTTATAAAAATACATACATACACATGCACACACATGGCTGCATACCTTATAAGTGTTCAGGCTCCACTTTCTCACCAATTCTAGTTTTTCCATGGCTGGATTCTTTACTTCATCTGCTAACACAACAGGTCCACTCTTCTGCTGAGCTCTGCCCCCTATGTCAGATACAAAGCAAATCTTCAAGCCCTTGGGTCTAGGCTTTTTATTTGTTAGTTTATTTTAAGGGATTAGTAGCAGATTTGTGCAGTTGGACATCCAAAAACAGAGCAAGGTGACAGTAAGAACTTAAAATGAATAAGCAGATTTTAAAAATCAGTTCCAGAAAGAAAGACTTACTTTAAAAGTGATATAAAATGTATACATATATATGTATCTCACTATTTCATGAAGTAATAGGCTGAATTAAGCATACTGAAAGCTTAAAACAGCTTTTGAGACATATTTATTACTTAATCTATGTTTTAAAACTCCAACAGTTGAACACTCTTTTGCATTTAGTCAATCTAAAAGTCTGTTTACAACCTGAAGACCATTAAACAACATTTACCAGCATACTGTTGTCATGAAGTACAGAGTTTTCTAATCTTTTCTAATGAAAGTCGTTCTTTCCAGAAGATGTGTTTGGCCAATATTTAATTTATTTATTTCAGTTTCATTAGCTCATTGTATTAGGAACAATTAATTCTACAAACCATGAGTATAAAACAAGCAAAGAAGTGATTTAAAGCAACAAATTAAAATCCCTAGGGCCAATCACCACCATAAAGGGCCATTACTCAGCATTTTCAAGCTAGTATGGAATATCATGTGGATTCCATGTTTGAATTTTGCAAAATTCCTAGTGTCCTAAATATTAAAAACTGCTAAGTATCGTCACTTTTTAAGCAACATTTTCATTTATTCATGTCCATATTCATTTTAACTACTCCTGACTCTGATCCCTACTGCTATGTACAGTCACCTTAGTCTTACCAAGTTATTTATGAAAGCAAGAGTTTGGAAAAAAGTCTACACAGATGCCTCAAGATACTCTTCTAGCATCAAGTTCTTTATATCTTCAACATGCTGTGCAAACATTAAGTAATTAACCCTCTAAACACCCTTATGAGGTATCTGAGTTAAGTTTTCTCCTTTTATGCAGGAGGAAGCAGATTAAGATGTTAAGTAATTTGCCCAAAGGCAC